CTTGGGCCGCTTGCGGCCGCAGGGGCGGGCTCACGGGGGCTGTGCCCATCTTCCCCAGAGAGGAGAGCACCTCAGCCCAGCCCCTGCTCTGGCCTGAGATGTTTCTCCGGGCAGGAGCTCACCAAAGGCCCCTCTCAGCCCCGCACGGGTGCCCCCCGTGAGCCGTGCCAGCCGGCAGCGCGTCCCAGGATGCTGTGCTGGCTGCCGCCTCCGGCACGAGGTGCAGCGATTTTTTTTTCAGCCCGCCTCGGTCCCCCCCCGTAGCCGGTTCCAGCCGGCAGCGCGTCCCAGGATGCGGTCCGGGCTGCAGCCTCTGGCCCAGGCTGCAGCACCTCTGCCACAGCACCACTACAAAAGCAAGCGCCCCCGTGGCCACACGTTAAAGTGAGAGCAGGATGAGAGTCAGGAATCCCCAGAAGCAGCTCTCTGCAGGAGGCCCAGAAAAGTTCACTGCGATGCCTGCTGCCCGAGCCTGCACCCAGACCGCTCTGCCCAGACCCGCCCCGCTCCTGACAACCACATCAGAGGGCAGGAAGAGGCAGAGCCAGCGAGCTACTGACAGGACAGGCAGGGCCAGGAGCTCCCCATGGCTCCCTGGCAACTACCCAGCTGCTGCTGGTCACTGCTGCCAGGCGTGTGCAGGCCAGCTCCCAGTGCTGCCCGAGCAGCAAGCACCCAGCTCCCAGACTGGCTCCACCTGAACCCAGGATGGTGTGGACACAAGGGGCTGTGAATCAACCCTAATCCACCTGTAATCTCCATCTTCCTCTGCTAACTTCTGCCATATATCTGACTGACTGAGCAGCCAGAGGCCCAGGCTGATGACACAACATGCTTCCTAATCTCCACCAGAGTGGTCCTGGTGGAAGAAAACAATCCATCCAGCCCAGATGGAGCCTCACAGAAAACAGTGCAAGAAAGGTGTCAGGACAGACACTTGTGGGCTGCAGGGACTCAGAAGTGCTCTTGTCTCTCTTCTGAGGTCTGGGGTAAATTTGAAGTGGAAGGATTAGGAAGCCAGTTGAGGAGCTGAGATCACTTTTCCCTGCCAGTCCCTAAGATCTGCAGCTATTTCATACATCCAGACTGAGCAGAGGCACCTCTTGCTCCTTGACCACAGCAAAATCCAGGGTGAGCTATATATTCAGACCCCAAATGCACTGGTACCTCTCCTACACCAGCCATGGCATATCCAACCCAGTGCAGCCCAGGTTTATCCTAATGTGCCCCTCTGCTGAGACACTTCTCACTGACATCATCCCTTGCTCATCTAGTCAGAGGTGTTTCCAGCATTACCTCAAAGGTCATCTCCATTTACAACCCTCTCAGTGTCAGCCATCCCCTGGCTAACACAGACCAGCCACCACAGGGGCAGTCTGATGTGCAGACACAGGGGAGGGGCGTGCAGGTCACACGTGGTGTGTGGACAGGGTCAGCAGTGAGCCCTGTGCCCACGGCTGCCTGGGCGAGGATGAACTGCAACTGGGAAAGGTCAAACCAAAGTGCTGAAGTGCTTTTATTGTTTGCTCTCCATTTTCAACAATCCCTTCCCCACCCCCTTGCCTTCAGAGTGAAAAAATGAGCTACCATCCCTGTCAGATATGCACAAGCTGCTCTTAAAGGCCTCCTCCACTCTGCAGGCTGTACTGCTGCTCACCCGCAGAGGCACGAGAGAACATCTGCTTTGTATTTGACCGGTGGACCCCCCCAGCTTGTGACACCTGTAACCCCTCCAACCTCCTCCTGCACCACTGCAACCCAGGCAGCCATTCCCCACCCACATGAGTGGAAGGGCTGCTCCAGCTCGGCGAACACTTCCACTCACAAGTCTGTGTTAGATTGTCCTCTTTCCTTTGCCTTCTTTGAGGTATTTAACATGGCTCATGACTGCTTGCCCTGGTATTTCTCTCATGACTGATGCTAAGCTTAGAGTGCCTCCTTGGTCCTCCTTGCACTCTCAGAGATAAGCCACCACAGCCCAGGGTCAGAGCCATTTCATGTGTCAGCTCATTAAATACCCACGGTAAAGTGGTTCGGGCTGGACTAACGTCTGCACTGCCCAGGCAGTCCCTCTCTAACGCCTTCATTCCCCAGCCAAGGCCAGAGCCCACTCTTTGCTCTTGGCGGCATCGCCCAGCAGAGCCGTCACTCACCTGGCCAGGAGGGAGTTGATGTAGTCAGGAGTTGTGGGGTCTGGGCTCAGAGGAGGAGAGACCACAAACGCTGCAGCCTTCGCCCAGTTCTTGCTCCAGTAGTGTGTCCCGTCGGTCCCCAGGCTGGCTGTGGTGGGCTCACCAAACACCACGTTGCCTGCAAAGGGCGACAGAAAGGACGCAGTCTTGGTGGACCCTGGAGGCATTCTCTATGCCACAGCACTACCAGCAGCCTGCAGTGACCAGGGCTCACCCACACCCGTGCCAGACTGTCCCACACTGCCTGCTTGGACCCCGGGTGATGGGGCAGCCAGGAGGGGCAGCGAGGCCCACACCGGTGTCAGGCGTGAGCGCAGAGCTGAAGAGCTGCCCACCAGCCTCCTTGTTCGCCAGCCCCTGGGGCAGGGGCACACTGACTGGGGCTGTGCATGTGCCCATACATGTGTGGGTCGTTCCTGAGCTCCACCACCAGTGACAGATGCAGCCCTCAGCCACCAGAAAAGGCACCCAGCACCTCTGAGGGGCCAGTGTTTCAGAGGGAGGCCAGAGCTATATGTAGCAGCTCAAACCACTTGCACACAGAAGAGGCAAGTCTCCCCAGAGAGCCCTTCACAGCCACAGACAAACTTGGGTCTTCAAAGCATTGCTCCTCCCTGTGACCCACATGTTGATGTTACCTAATGTGACAACAGGAGCTGGTTCCACACAGCCTGGTGCAGTGTCCCTATGCCCTTCAGAAGTCAGGTAAACCCCTGAGCTAACTGCTCCCCAGCAGAAGGTGACACCGAAACATACTTGAGGCACAGTGGTGGTCTTGGCAAAACAACCATGAGGACATGGGGACCACTTAATCCAGCTGTCCAGGTTCCCAGTGGCAACAGCAAGGCTGTGTGCAGCAGCAGCTCCCACTCACCTTTCTTCCTGGCTTGTGAGATGAGGTCAGCAGCGCTTTTGCTCATCACTTTAGTCACATAGAGAGGACAGTTGGTCTGGCTGGCAATAGTGATGGCCCTGAAGACAGCTTCTGCCTCCAGCTGGAAGAGAGAACGGCGCACGGCTGCAGGGGACCGCGCGGCGGGCAGCGAGGACTCCCCGGATTGCTGCTGGCACCCCTTGACTCCCCGAGGGCAGGTTACTCAGGGAGAGCTGAGGGGACGTCTCAGCCGCCCGGCCCAGCCCCCGGGCTGCAGCTGGACAAGGCTCAGAAGGGCGGGGCT